CTAGTGTGTATCCCTTCTGGCCCTCCTGACGTGAAAGCATCTAGCTTCCAATGAATCCCTAACTCATTCTTCCACTATTCTAAGCTGTTTGCTGCTTTCTCTGTCTTTGCTGCCAATTGCATAGGATGTAATGGAGCTCTACACAGCACCTTTAAATTGTGAGCGATACTGTTCCAGCACTTCTTACATTCTCAGCCTTCACACCGAATGCAGTGGAAAAGCAGGGATGGGCACTCAGTGTTTAAAATACACTCTTGTTATGTTTAGTGGGTAAGTGTGACCTCTAGGCTGATGTAGGATGATGTGAATGCACCTACGTGATAAAATGTTGATTTCATTTTTAAACAAGGTAGGGATAGGATACTTATATTCTTGTCAATATCAGTTCATGCTATATATTTCTTTACCTGGCCACTGGCATGATTCAAAGAGGGATTAAAATCAATCCCATGAACACACAGTCAAACCAGAACTCATGGTATTGAGTTATAATTCAAGATGCCAGAAAATGGCTTAAATCACTATCTCAAATACCTGGTCACTATTTTAAATGGCTCAGGAAACTCCTGAGAGGAAAGAAGAAAATGGAGAGCTATTTATTGCTACCCTGGTTCAGATGCAACTGTAGCCTAAAGATGCAGAAAAAGGAATGGGAGCCTAGAGACTCTGCTCTGTAAAGCATAGGCCAAGAGACTTTACTTCTGTCTCCATTTCCTCTTCTGTAAACTGGAGATAACAGTACTTATCTATTTTAAAGCCCTGTGCAGGCTTGACATCGGTCCCACTGACACTACTGGAACTTTTGCCATCAACTGTAATGAGAGCAATATCAGAGCACCAAAACTCCAAGCACTGCCACAGTTCTCTTTGCCAGGACCCCTGTATTAATTATACATGGTGATAAGAACAATTCACAACCTGGAGTTATATTTGCAATTTACTGGTAATTATACAGTTCTTACTAAACAATTCCTGAAAAGCCCAACAATTGTTCTGTTTCCACCTTGTCATCCAGACGTATGGAGAACAAACACCTATTTCTCACTCTTTCCCTTTGCCAATTAATTGTATGGCCCATAGATAATGCAGCTAGACTTGTAATTTCTTTACTTTCTGGCTTAATTCATGTGTCAGCTTTACAGCTCTGGAGATACCAAAAGAGATTTACCACTAACTAGTAAAACCCAGTAAGTTTTTTCAGACATGGCTAAAAATGACAGCTCTCTATCACCACCTAGAGGGGATCGATCACCTTAGAGAAACTTTCCCTCTCAACCACCTCCACTTCCAAATGCAAATGGCAGTTATTCTTTCCTTGATCTACTAAATAAAAATATGGATATGTTTTTAAAGCTATACTCAAACAGCCTCACTTGTCATCTGATTACTAGCTACATCAGTGGTTCTCAACCTTTTCACACTCAAAGCACCCCTTTGTGAGATGAACAGCATCCCATTTCAAAACTTGATTGATTGTAGTGCTTACCTGCTTTAAGAGGGGTTAGGAAGGAGGAGAAGCAGCTGGCAGGGAAAACCCTGGTGGCACCCTTCAAAGGCTGTCACAGTACCCAGGGTGCCATGGTATGCTTGCTGAGGATCACAGAGCTAGCTACTTTCACTATATAGTGTACTCCATTTATACACATACGTACATAATTCATTTAACTGGATGACCCAATAGCCTATCCAAATCTTTTGCCTAACTGCTTACATTGTAACAAACTCTTATTATCTGCATATGGATGAAGTGCATAAGCTGTTTAGGTACAGGGACATCGCATTTCAGCTTCACTGGCCACGAGATGCTGACTGTGCAGTAGCACTGTGTGGCACAAAGTGCGATGAGATGGTACTGTGCAGTAGTAACAGGGTACTGTGCAGTCAGCATCACCAAGAAGCTATTCAGGGATGTTACTGTGCAGTCATTTAGTACTTGTGCATGCAAGTATTAAATGACTGAGAAGTAGCAACTGTGCAGTCAGTGTCTCATGTAGATGCAACCTGTCTATTTTGTAACTACTGTACTGTTACCTGCACACACTAACTGTTGCTCTGTTTGTAACTAACTGGACTTCATTTGCTGCACAAGAAACAGTGATGGAGAGGCAGCTGTCAAAGGTGGGGAACCAGTCAGTTCTGGGGCTGCTAATATCACAACCTTGTAAGCAATGCTCCTTCCCTATACAGCACTGGCAGTGTGGCAGTATTAGCAGCCTTGAAACTAAGCACTCTCTCCTTATTTTCAAGGCTTCTAATAGACAGTTTCAGAGCTGTTATTAAGAGCCATGAAAATGAGAACAGCTCATTAGCTTCAAGGCTGGTAATACTGCAGCAGTGACAGTATCATGCACTTACCCCAGTGGAGTGTAAACAGTGTTGGTTAAGTGTGTACTTCAGGTAAGAGCATGGCTTTTTTCAGTCAAGGCTATCCACTTCAAGAGAGTACGCTACTGCAAACAAACTGCATCTGGGAATGAGATGTGCAAAGTTCACACAAGACAAAATGGGGAAGGAAACAAACAGATTTCCAAGACTACTGCGAACTAAGACTGCCCACAAAATGCAGAAGAAACAGAGTTCCAGGAGGGCAGCTCTGGGAAGCTGGAGTACATCCAGGATCATAATGTTGTTTTTTTCCTGTTATTACATTTTGCTCCTTTCCCATTAGCTAGTTCTTTTTTTTTTAGCCTATTTCCTTTCAATTATGTAAAGAAAATATCCCACTTGGACCAAAATCTTTACTACTCTATCATTTCAACTGATAGAATATTTTTTTACATTGATTTCCTATTTTTTTTCTGCCTGCCTTATGTCTCTTCATTGACAGCTACCAATGAAGTTCTTGACTAAGAGTAATGAGAGCAGCTGTCTCTGCATCATGAAATTTAGGAAAAACTTCTGCTGTTATAAACTTGTCTCTGCCTATCCAGAAGGTCATTTAATACCTTGCCAGTTGAATCCTATATCATTTTTCCTTACTCTGAATGGGATCGTGCTTTTTGAATATTGGCAGAATATTAGCACTCTTCTAATTTCCTGGAATTACCCAGTATCTCAAGATTTGTTTAAAAAAAATAAGTTCGGGGCCAGAGTTCCTCAATCATTGCAAATACCTGGACCCGTTGCTTTCAAAATAAATATGCTTAGTAGATAACTACTAACATCTTCCTTGTAACACCATAATCCTGTTTCTTTCCGGGTAAAACCAGAAATATTTACTGGACATTTGTGCCTTTTCTGCATCATTATTAATAGACGTTACCATCCTATCTAGTATTGGGTGTACATCACTATTATGATTTCTCTGGTTTCTAACATACTTTAAAAATTCACCTTATTGTCCTTAGCTCTGGATATTTCCCCATAACTTCCTTTATCAGTTTTCTACATGTCATGACTTAACACTTAGATTGATCACCCTCTCTTGCCCCTTTTTATATTTGTTATATATGACTTTTTGTGTAATTACCACCTTTGTTAGTGAATTGGGATGTGATTTTAGCCAAACTTGCCCTCCATTTTTCAAACCTACTAAATTTCATTTATATTACTTTTTTCCTCTTAATCAACATTTGTTTGTAATTTTCTCACCTCCAAAGAATCTGTCCCTTTTGAAGCAGAAAGCAAATCTTACTGTTGAAACTGTCCACTGAGTCAGTTTGCCTATATTAAATATAATCATTTCATGATCACTGATCCTTACACAGCAATCAGTGTCTTGTTATTAATTTACCTTTATCCATCATAGTAAGGCCCCAAATAGCTACCTTGTGTTAAGACCAAAACCTTTTGGTGTTAAAAAAAAATATTCATCTTTAAATTTTAGATATTCCAGGTGGGGGGGGAGTGGGGGGGGTATTTACTACTAGCTGCATGAGATGTCCACCAGCTGTCTCCCAGTCCCCACTAGCAACAGTTTTGCTTTCCATGAATTACAGGCTGGTGCTTAAGCAGCAGTTCATCCTGTTTAATTTGGTAGTCTGTAACTAGGGTGGCCATCATAGAAGACATTCAGGTTTTCTACTACTCTGTCCTCTATTGATAGGAAACTGATGCCTTTATGTCCACTATTCTTCTCTTCAAGAGAAAAATAGAGGACATAAAGGTATCCAGTTTCGTATCAACAGGGGACAACTCTGTGATGGCCACCCTATCTGTAACAGATCCCATCCTGGGCTTTGCTACATAGCCCTGTAGGGGGGGTTGTCCAGCCCACCTTTGATCCTTCCACCCTGGGTGGGGTCAAGGCAGAGATGGGGGGCTGGATAGGGGTTGAGCAACCTGGTCCTGGTCCTGGTCCAGGTGTGTGGGGCAGGGGCAAGTCAACCCTGATCCAGATGGGCAGGGCAGGGCAGGGCAGGGCAGGGGACAAAGTGACTCCAATATGACCTGCACACAGGGGTGGGGGTGGAGTGGCTCCGATTCAGATATTGGGGGAGGGGGAGGAGGCAGCCTGGCCCCGATACAAGCATGTGACAAAGGCGGTGTGGAGCAGTCCCGATCCAGAGATAGGGGAGCAGCCTGTGCTGAGGTGGGGTGGCTGTGCCCAGCCGGGATCCCCCTTTGCTGCGATGGGGGTGAGGCTCAATCCAGCCACATGGCGCCGCCAAGTTTCCTAACCCAGGGGGCAGCCCCGCGGGCCAGATCTGGCCTGGAGGATAAGCACTCCTGAGCGATGGAGTCGTTACACATTTTCAAGCACTAACTTCGTGGCTGGTCGGCTCTTGATTCGGCTGGACAGTCACTTTTACCGTGCGATAATTACTTCGCACCTGAGGCCTGTCTAAATGTTCACCCGTTAACTGCGCAACAGACGTAACGGGGACCCGGGGCCCTTGCGCCGCATCCGCTATAGCACAAAATTCCCAGCGCAGGGCCGCTCCCCGAGAGCAGGACACACCGCCAAGCGCCGGGCGACACTCACCCGCAGCGACGAGGAGGAGGGCAGGCCCCGCCCACACGGCCGGCGCGCGGGTGATTGCATCATCGGCGGGGGCGGGGGCGTCACAACCGCGCGACCCAAGGGTAACGGCGGCCGTTTGAAACGGCGCTGGCGGGGGGCAGCGCCTTGGGCAGGTGAGGAGTGGCCCGGGGCCCTCGCCCTCGCCCTCGCCCGGCTGTAGCGCCGCTAGCCGGGGCTGGGTGGCCGGGCCGCAGCGCCGCCCACGTCGGTTCCCTGCTCTTGCTAACGCGGCCCTTGGCTCGGAGCGACGAGACTAGCTGCCTCGGCTTCTCCCCGCTTTTCGCGTTGCGCCCGGTGTCTCCGGGCCCAGCAGCAGGCGTAGGGCCGCGGCCGCGGGGTGGCTAATGAGGGAGGGAGGCCTGGCAGGGGCTCGGGGTTCTGCCGCTTCTCTTACCACAGCCATAGTGAGGTGTGGGGATCCGGCCCGGCTCTGTGCTGTACGCTGCCTCCTTTGTGCCTGCCCAGGGGGAGCCCCAGCAGCCTGAGGCTGTGGACAGCCCTTGCCCATTGGCTCCGGGCTGTGACTTCCTGAGACGCCACCACCTGCATTTGTCCATTCTTGAAAGAGTCATGGCGCTTCCTCACCTGCAGCAGCCAAGCTTCTTACTGGTGAGTGTCCGCCCCAGGAGGCTCCGGCAGGGAGGTCTCGGATGCTGCGGGTCTGCCACTAACGCTCTTCCAGTGAGCCGCTTGGGATTGGGCAGGGAGTCATCCATGGGGTACTTTCTGATGTGCTTCGTGTAAGTCAGGCTCGCTAAAGCACCCTGGAAGCGATACCCTGACCGCTTGCAGAACTGCAGGGAAGCAGAACTGGACGGAGCTCCTGGAGGTCATTTAGTCTCTAGTGCAACCCCTGCCCGAGGCAGTATCATCCCTATCCGAACCATCCTCTACAAATACATTGTTTATACTAGCAAAACTATGCAGTCGACCCCAAATGCAACCACAAGCCCTAACGCCCTAACCCGACACAGGCAAAGCTCCTGCTGCTCCCGCCTCATCTGTCTGTGGACAATTCATAATGCTGTCCTGTTTTACCTGTACCTGAACATTCACTAACCATCTGTCTCCTCTTTAACGTGAAAGGTAAATCCAAGTGGATTAAAAAAAACTAGAGCTGAGATTAGCTCCTGTTCACATTCCACCAAACAGCCAATTTAGAATGTAAATAAATTAGTGCTATAGCAATGTCAATGGGCATTGCATTGCTGTGGGAGCAGTCTAGGGAATTCTGCCAATATTTGTCTGTTCGGCAGTCGTCTTGCTGAAGTGTTCTGATGTCAGAATTTTGTTCATGACAGGCCAGTTTGAAAGCAGACTGTGTGAACAAGCCCTTTGCTCAGAGGTGCCATGATCTGGAAACAGTCATTGAGGACTTCCCTGCCAAGGTACACAGTTACTATTTTTCATGAATCCATGCTGAGCTATACTTCAGTAGGCTTTCACAAATACCATTTTTCATTCCCACCTTTTCAAATAACATTGAGGTCCTCAAATGAAGTGTTCTGAATTTAATAGCTTCTCAAAAGTTTCATATCTTTTCTTCCAGTAATTAAAAGTAATTACATTCCTAAATCATATCTTTCATCCTTTCCTGAAGTGTCAAAAATGAGGACACTAGCCCTGTTAGTTGTGACGCACAAAATACTGATGATCACTGTTGAATTCTTCGTTGCCTTAGAAATTATTTGTTTTGACCTGATCCCTTTTTCTGGCTGTTTCCCTGAAGGAACTGCATGCCATCTTTCCATGGCTGGTGGAGAGTATTTTTGGTAGCCTGGATGGCATCATTGTAGGTTGGAATCTTCGCTCCTTGCAGGGAAGAACACATCCTACAGAATATGCTATTGCCCTGGATTTCCTGGATCCAAGGTAAACTCACTTGTTTTGAAGCAGATGAAAAATGTAAGGGGAATCAATAACCCAGCCCTTGACTTGTTTCTTTTTTGTACAAACACTCTTCTATGAAAGATGCACAGAGATAGATTTATTGTGGCTTTTTTCCTCTAATGCTTATTTGCAGTGGCCCAATGATGAAGCTGGTTTACAAACTCCAAGCAGAGGAGTATAGATATGATTTTCCAGTTTCCTATCTCCCAGTAAGTAACCAGTAAATATTGTAAATATGAGAGAAGATCCTGTTGTTGCGGCTATTGGAATATCTCTTGCTGTCAGGTACCCTGGGTTTGGTGAAGGGCCTATTATTGTAGTTATTGATCTCTCGGTCTAGAGCGAGAGATCATGCTCTGAAGAAGAACTTTCTATAGTATTTGGAGCTCTGTTAGAAGAAGAGAATCTTCCATCCTTATGGATTGTATAGGAAGTTGTATTACTTGTATTACTATAAGCACACGTGTGTGCTGTTCAGCTAAGGAACTTACTTTCTATTTGCTGCTCTGCCACTGAAAGAGAGGCTAGATTTATTATCTCAATGACTGATAGATATGGAGCTTTAAAACTATTTTTTCAAGCTTGTCAGAAAGCAACTCTTTCTGTAACCGCATTTCATACCTCTGAAGGCACTTCCCTCCATGTGTAATGAAAACGAAATGTTCTCCTACATGTGGAATGTAACACTTGCCTGTAGCAAAACAAGCCCCTCCTGTGGTTGACTAGTTTTTCTAGCTGGCTCAAGTGGTGTGAGGCAATAGCTGTACCTTATCGGTATCCACAGTACCGGAGGTAGGGGGACTAGTGAAAAAGTCCCTGAAAACAGAGGGGCCTGGAAATGCTGTGTGAAATACTTTTTCCATTGCTACCCGAAGGCTAACTTCTAGAACTAGAACCAGGAATCCTTTTACAACCAAATACATGAATGCATTCTCAAAACCTCATTCAAGTAGCCTGTTTTGAGTAGCCTATTCATTATCTCCTTTATTCTTATATTCCAGGGTCCTGTGAAGGCCTCAATACATGAGCGAGTCCTACCAGAATGCTCATTGTACCACAACAAAGTCCAGTTCCCTCCATCTGGTGGCCTAAGTTTGAACCTAGCTCTCAGTATCCTTTTACTAATTTAAGGGCTTACCCTATCTTAATTCCTTTAATATTTTAGGTAACTAAATCTGACAGGTTGAGAACAAATTCTGCTTTATTCTCCTTTTACTTGACTCAGTTCAACAGTGATCTGTATTAGCTCACTGCTGCAGTGTTTATGCTGCAAGAAAATGCCCAGATCTAAAGTTACTGAAATCTATATTCTATTAAACATCATGGGTGGAGTGTTGGTCTCATTCAAGTCACTTGGGTGGAATGTTGGTCTCATTTAAGTCACTGATCAAACTATATCTGTTTTGCAAATCTGCTTTATGTATTTGCTAGGGACTAGCACAATGCAATATAATATAGAAACACCAGAGCTACCTTTAAACTAACTAAATCGGGTATAGGAAGCAGTCTAATCAAGGCAGCAAATGCTCATATGTTGCCAATAAGTGTAATTTTGTTGTATTGTGTATCCTTGACTCTGTCTCTCCAGATCCATTTGAATATTACATGTTTTATTTTGCAATTAGCCTCATCACACACAGAGTAAGTACATATTTTGTTAAACAGCACCACTCTGGCAAACTCTTTCTTTGTGGCACTTTTAAGACCCTACATGGCTTTAGATACAAGATTCAGGTTAGCTGGATCACACAACTATTCCTCTCTAAATATCATTGGTTAAGTTTCAAACGTAGCCAGCAATTATACATATTACCACTATAAAGGAAGAAAACTAATGGTTCTTAAGGCTGCAGTCTAGTGGGGAGCAACTTTTTGGCAGGTGTGCCATAAACTAAGCCTGACACCCTCCCCAAGTACCACTCTGATCCCCTTCCTTGTCCCATCTGCTGCTTCGTTTTCTGTTTCTTGCTCAGTCTGCTGAATGCCAATCTGCAGAGGCTTCCCATGCCACTTGTGGCATGCATGTTGCTGGTTGACCACCCGTGCTATATTCCATAGCCTGTGGCTAAGGATAAATGAAGTATAGAAATAATTTAAGCTTCCTGTGCATGGTTACTTTATACCTACTGATCATGGTGCTTATCTGTTTGTTGTAAAAACTTGCATGACTTCTTACATGGTATTGTACATTTAAACTTTGCCTTGTTTTTTAGCAGCATCTAACTGTGATCGTTCATCTGTGATGGTTTCTTGATGTGAAGTGTGTCTCATACTACTTTTGCAAACTCTTCTGCAATGATTCATACCTCTTTAAAGCAGAACAGAATGCTGTAAATCCCTAGTCCAGGGGTCAGCAGCCCCCAGCACACATGGCAGTAAGGCATGTGAGGCTATCTTGCACAGCATGCCACAGCTGGCCTGGGATCTGGGCAGCTGCCACTAGCCATGGAACCTGGGCTACTTGGAATGGGTGGCAGGGAGGCTGCAAGCCCTGCTGAGAGCAGCCCAGGCTCCATGGCAGGCAGCAGCTGCCCATAGCCCAGGCCAGGTATGGCAGGCAGGTGGGAAGCTGCAAACAGCTGCACCAGACTCTAGAGACCCTGTCAGGCTCCACTGCAGAAGCATCTGCGCACACAGCTTGGGGTGAGCAGCAGGAAAGAGGCCAGGGTTGCACTACCCCCAGCCCCTTCCTGGCTACGCACCCTGAGGCACCCATGCAGCCACCGCTGCCACAGAGCCAGCCAGGACTCAGGAGCCTGGTGCAGCTGTTTGCAGCTTCCTGGCTGCCTGCCACAGCTGACCCAGGCTCTGGGCAGCTGAAGCATGTGGCGGGCAGACAGCAAACAGCTGCACCAGAGCCCTGGCACTAGCATCTTGGTGGCAGTGGCTGCACACATGCCTTGGGACACATGGGGAAGGGGTAGGGACAGTGTAATCTTGACCCCTTCCCCACAGTCCACCCAGATGCGCTCATGCACCTGCTACGAGCAACGAGGATCAGGCCTTCTCACAGCTCCCCAGCCATCTGCCTCTGGCACATCAAGCTGAGCAGTGGGTCAGGGTTAGGGTGTTTTTAGCAGTCCAGCTAAAAATGTTGTCAAGCCTTGCCCTAGGTAATTTCTTGTGTAACACAGAACATAGATACTTACCGAGTAATTTCTGCATCAAGTCTACAATGACACTTAGCAGATTTTTACTACAGGTCTTGATATCCCTGTGTCCATTGATATACTGTAATAATGTATCTTAATGTAAATATGTGCTATATACATATTTCAGAATACTCCCATCACTCATCATGTCAGTACTTCAAATAGTGCATACTTCATCTTGGTGGATGCGTACCTGAAGTGGTTCCTCCCCACAGAAGGCAGTGTCCTTCCTCCACCTTCTTCCAATCCTGGCGGAACCATCCCTTCACCTGCTCCCAGGTAACGGCTAATCAGGTTAAATATGTAGTGCCAGTGCTAGATTGTACAGGCAATGATCATAAAAGCTGGCTTGTTTGAACTGAGTTCTCACCACAGATAAGAAGAAAATGGTTCCATCTTTTTATAATTTGAATGTCTTATGTGTAATACTTCACTGCTGACACCAGACAACTTGAAAGTCATTATGTTGGTATCTTTGTTCATGCTCCCATATCCTACCATGCTCTTTTTTTGTTAAGATGGCTGTCTTTGGCACAAATTTTTGTCCAGTTTTTCTTGGTTACAAGTTACAGTCCCTTTCTCGACCTTTTGTTTGTGCTTGAAAATTATGGAATTTATGCACCTTTTTTCTCTAAAGGTCCCCATCAGTGCCTTTCACCTCTTATGGCATGCATCACACTAGCCTCCTGAAACGACATATTGCCCATCAGCCTTCAGTGAATGCAGACCCTGCTTCCCAAGAGATCTGGAGGTCAGAAACAATGCTTCAAGTGAGTCTGATTCTATGTTCTTTTAATTTCTTCTGGGTAAGGCTGGCTGGAAAAAACTTATTTGCAGGTCAATTTCTTTTTCTTTACTTAAAGATAAAGTTGCTGTTCCATTCCTCCCTAACTTGCTGCTCACTAATTTAATGGAAGGGTGCAGCTGTCACTTTATTATTGGAAAATAAAGAAGCATTATGAAATTGTTAGGCTGTAATGTAAAATAAATTGTTATGTTAGCCATTGATATAATTTGATAGGTATTAAAGTTATCACAGCTGGGAGGGCAACACAGTAGTGCAAAGGCAATCCAGGAAGTTTTTGGAGAGGGTTGGGGACAACTTCCTGGTGCAAGTGCTAGAGCAATCATACAGGGGCCGTGCTCTTCTTGACCTGCTCACAAACAGGGAAGAATTGGGCAGCAGAAACCACAAGATGATTGAGTTCAGGATCCTGATGAAAGGGAGGATGGAGAGCAGCAGAGTATAGATCCTGGACTTCAGAAAAGCAGACTTTGACTCACTCAGGGATCTCATGGGCAGGATCCCCTGGGATGCCAGTCTTAGAGGGAGAAGAGTCCAGGAGAGCTGGCTGTACTTTAAGGAAGCCTCCTTGAGAGTGTGAGAACAAACCATCTGGATGTGCAGGAAGACTAGCGAGTATGGCAGACCAGCTTGGCTTAGCAGGGAACTTTTCAGTAAAGTAAATCACAAAAAAGAAATGGAAACTTGGACAAATAACTAGGGAAGAATATAAGAGCATTACTCATGTATGCAGGGATGAAGGCCAAAGCACAATCGGAGTTGCAGCTAGCAAAGGGTAACAAGAAGGGTTTCTACAAATATGTCAGTAACAAGAGGATCAGGGAAAGTGTGGGGTTCTTACTGAAAGGGGGAGGTAACCTAGTGACAGAAGATGCAGAAAAGGCTGAAGTACTCAATGCCCTTTTCACTTAGTCTTCACAGGCAGGGTCAGCTCCCAGGCTACTGCAAATGGCAGCACAGTTTGGTGGGGAGGTGAACAGCCAACAGTGGTGAAAGAACAGGTTAGGGACTATTTAGAAAAGCAGGATATATATAAGCCCATGGGGCCGGATGGGATGCACCCAAGGGTGCTGAGTTAGCTAATGCAATTCCAAAGCCACTGCCCATCATCTTTGAAAACTCATGGCAATCAGGAGAGGTCCCAGATGATGGGAAATACTGCCCATATTTAAGAAAGGGAAAAAGAAGGGTTCAGGGACCTACAGATCAGTCAGCCTCACCGCAGGCCCTGGAAAAATCATGAAGCAGATCCTCAAGGAATCCATTTCTAAGCACTTAGAGGAGAAAAAGGTGATTAGGAACAGTCAGCATGGATTCACCAGGGGCGAGTCATGCCTGACCAACCTGATTGCCTTCTATGATGAGGTGACTGGCTCTGTGGATGCAGGGAGACCAGTGGCTGTGTTGTACCTTGATTTTAGCAAAGCTTTTGATATGGTCTCCTACAGCATTCTCATAGGCAAGCTAAGGAAGTATGGGCTGAATGAATGGACTGTAAGGTGGATAGCAAACTGGCTGGAGCATCGGGCTCAGTGTGTAGTTGGCAGCTGGTATCAAGTGGAGTCCCCCAGGTGGCAGTCCTGGGGCTGATTTTGTTCAATGTCTTCATCAACAACCTGGAAGATGGCATAGAGTGCACCCCCAACAAGTTTGCAGATGACACCAAGCTGGGGGAAATAGTAGATACGCTGTGGATAGGGCTAGGATTCAGTGTGACCTAGACAAAGAGGAGGATTGGGCCATAAGAAATCTCATGAGGTTCAACAAGGACAAGTGCAAAATCCTGCACTTAGGACGGAACAATCCCATGCACCAGTACAGGCTGGAGGCTGACTGGCTTGGCAGCAGCTCTACCGAAAAGGACCTTGGGGGTTACAATGGATAGCTTAATATGAGCCAGCAGCATGCCCTTGTTGCCAAGAAGACTAACAACCTACTGGTCTGCATTGGTAGGTATGTTGCCAGTAGGTCAAGGGAAGTGATTTTTCCCCTCTATTCAGCCCTGGTGAGGCCACATATGAAGTACTATGTTCAGTTTTAGGCCCTCCACTACAGAAAGGATGTGGAAAAATTAGAGAGAGTCCAGTTGGAGGGCAGCGAAAATGGTGAGGGGTCGGGGGACATGACTTTGTGAGGAGAGGCTAAGGGAACTGGGCTTATTTAGTCCAAAGAAGAGAAGACTGAGAAGGAATAAAAAGTCCTTTTTCAGATATGTGGGGAGCTGGAGGAAAAGCAAGGGCAACATTGGACCTCTGCTGAACCAGATGGGA